CGGGAGGTTGGCGGCGGCCGGTGGTTGTAGTCGGACTTTTGAGATGTGTTTTCAACGGAATTCTGGATGATGGGTTAGTTCGGAACGAGCCAACAAACGAGTGGTCGGGTGCGTGGGATGGGGAAATGTGTTGTACAGGAGACGGTGTCGGGGGTGGAGTCGTATGTTGCATACGACGACGACGGGTGCTTGGGGAGGTTTTTTTGGGTCTTGGGTGAGGGATTTGGACTGCATCCATGGTTGCAGGATGATATCTCAGAGGTAGATATTCAAGACGAGGAGGAATGAGCCTTCGTTGTCCAATGTCTAATTCAATTTTTACTCAGGCGACAACTTGGTAAACCCTATGCACAGAAAGTTACGCAGACAGCCTCTGCACTGCATGCGATTAATCCCCAACATATCATCATGTCCTGTATTTCGTTCCGGGACGTTGGAAGTGCCGTGTTCGCTTTGGATATTGTCACTGTTTTTCCCTCCCGGTTGCTAGTCGCGACGCGGAAGATGGGGGAGGGGGGTCGTCGCAGCATCACGGGCCCCTCCTCTGGAGGAGGAGGAGGGAGGATCTACAGGGTTTCGTTAGATGACGGGATCGTGCTAAGTTTATTTTTACATTGCGTTAGGTTACGAGATTTTAGTGAGATCTCTGCTTTTCTCTCGTTCCCTCTCGCTCTCATTTGCATGGTCTTGGCACGCGGGATTACGCGCCGTTTGTTTCCTCTCGCCGTCCGAGGAAAGAAAGGAACGAGGCATTGTTTAGAGTTGGCGAGTGTACGTACGCCTTGCTGCAGTATGTGTAAGTCGTCTCTTGTTTTTTCATGTTGGGAAAAGAAGGTTCATGGGATTTGGGAGAGATTGGCGGGTTTAGTGATGTGGTTCGTTCAGCCGTAAAGGCTATTGAGGAGGCTCACGGGAAGGAAAGTAATCGACTGGTAGGCTGCCGCGGGAAGTGCGTGCATTGTGAAGTGAAGTGGTGCCGATGAAGGTTGCGGCGGCAGGCGAGGTTGAGATGGAGAGGAGGGGGGCCGGGTAAAGTGGCTTTGTGTTGGCAGGCATGGCATTGACAGGCGAGCGAGCAAACGAACGACAGTGATGTGGAGGGTGGGGGATAACACGATGGGATGGGATGTGTGTGATGTTATCCTCAATGCGCTTCCTTTCTCTTCTTCTTTCTTCGCCACAAGTTGTCGTTGGTCGAGACAGTAGTGGTTTCTTGAAACCTTCGTCATCGTTCCCCAGGCTGTCGGTGATGGACGTCCCATGACGATTGCACAAGAATGATGTATTCCTCGCTGTGCTCGAGGAACGCATTCTGTAGATGATCGACGTCTAGAAGAAAAAGGATCGACGTTGAATTCCGAGGAATCGACTGGCTAGCGCGAAACGCATTGTGACATTGATCAGCTCTGTAACCTCTTTGAATGGCGTGGGCTAAGGATTGTCTAAAATGGCATGCGTCTTGTCGATATCTCGGCGAATGGGGGGATCAACTGGAGGAGATTGACGGTACGGCGGTACATTGCGCATGGCACGGGTCCTGTTGGTGAGGGAGGGGGATGTGGGAGGGAACCTAGATGGTGTAGGGGAGGTGTGGAAACGACAGGGCGTGAGTATCGATAGGCGTCGATAATATCCCTCCAACGAGGGTTCCCTGTTTGAGGGTTCGATGCGCTCCGAGGTCCCTTCCTCCGCTGTCTGTCAGAAGAGAAGAAAGGCCTGTGCCGACGAGCACTGGAAACAAGAACGACAGAGACAGATGCCGGGAAAGGTGAGAAGGGGGAAATGGGAAAAATTAGGTGCTTTGGCGCGCCAAACGCTGAGGCGCACGTCTTGTCTCATATCTCCCATTCCCTTAGCGACCAAGACAAGTCAGGACGCCCCTCAGGCCGACGCTACGCCAGAGACAGGCAGCTCGCGCGGGAAAAGCAGCGAAGGAAAACGTGTGTCGGTGCTAGAAAGGAGGACGTAGAGTGGCCGGCCGCCAGGACGACGCCGCTTCCGCGCGCCCGCGGCGCCGTTCGAGCCGCCATGGGAACGAATGGTCACTGCGGGACGTTCTCGGGGGCGCGGACGGCCGAGAGTGAGACAAGAAACGGTCTGGCTGATAATTCATGGGTGAGTTTTGGGTGGTAACTGGTCCAGGTAGGCGTGTACCGAGCCAAGTTTGGGGTGGAAATTGGGTGCAGAGGAAATTTCATTTGACCTCCTTTTTTTTTCATGCCCCCCTCTAATCGATATCGCCCGACTCTGACATCAATCTTGGCTTGGATGCACTACTGTCGACTGAAGAATGCCAGCGAGCCACTATCGATTGATTGATGGATTGATCGATGCAAGTGGGCGGAGGGGGACGATAGTCTGTCGACGACGCGAGGAATTATCGCCCAGCGCGTGTTGAATGCGTCAGGGCGCGACACGGCGTAAATTGGCCGAGTTGCAGATTCATGACTCCGGCAGCAGCACCCAAGGCCTTGGGCGGGGGGAGCACCCTCGCATGGTGTCACTGGTCAGTGTCGGGCGGGAATGGGTAAGGGATCGAGGCGATGAGGGTTCGGTAAGAGCGCATGGTATTCAAGGTCGAACGCCGGGCCAAGTCGAGGAGGGGAGGGGGCGTTGTCGGGGGGAGGGAAGTCACTGGTACTTGTAAGTGGCTGTTTCTCTGGAGGACTTCAAGTGGTGGACAGACACACACTCACAGCGTACCTGATGGATGATGGATCGCTTGGCCCATTGGGATCTTCTGAGCCCGAGTCGGACAGCTTTGGCGGGCATATTTTGATGTGCGTGACAACATTCATGTCATGGACGGTGAGATGCGCACATCTCCCCGGAGACACGGACAGGTGTTGCAGGGAAATCCCATTCACGCAAACCAAGGAACTGAAGGCATCTTGGCCGGTGCGTTGGCGGAAGATTCGAGGCGGTCGAGGTGGAAACATGTTGGACGTGGAATCGCTGCGCTGCGCTGTAATGCGCGAGGTGCACCAATCCTCGTCCTTCTTGTCCTCGCCCTCGCCCTCGCCCTCGCCCTCGTCCTCGTCCTCCCCGGGAGCACCTCCTCGTCCTGGTTACGGGCGACGGGCTGACGCACTGGACAGGCACAGGGCCCCTGGGCGCTGCTTGGCTGCGTACCTTGCCTTGCTCTTGCTCTTGCTGTGCAGGTACAGCAGGTACCTAGGATGTGTTCCAACATCGGTTGCGTACTACCTGATGCAGTAGACAGGTGGTACTGCCCGACATCCGTAGGTGGAAGGTGAGGCGCCATCACCGCTCCCCCGCGTCGAGTGTCGAGTGTCGAGTGCTGCTGTCCAACCTCCTCAAACCCGAAAGAGGCAGATGGCGCATGTTGGAGGTGCAGAGAGATGCATCGTGAGAAAGCAGAAACCCCACACTGCGCCGCTGGCTTTTGCTATTGGCGCACGGCGCATGGAGGGCGCCGTATCTGGAAGTTACGGTGCCCTGTCCCCCCAATCCACGATCCTCTCGAGGACGGGGGTCAGGGCCCCTCATCGCTTGAATCTGTGGAGGCCCTGGGACCTGGATGGGGGGACGAGGGCCACAGTCGCAATCTCTCGCAGACTGCAGTGATTTCCACTGGAATTTGGGGCCATTGAGCCATGCCATTGGCGACATTCATTGGAACCCATACCATAGCAGGTGCTGAAGCAACAAGGTACCTGATACTTTCCCTTCTTTCCCTTCCCCCTCCATCCACCCAGCAGCAGCACCACGACCCATCCACAGGCACTGCTGCGCTGCTGCTGCTGCACCAAGCCCCATCCCTCCATCCGTCCAGTCCCCGTCCCTCCTCCACCCACTCCCCCCCTTCCAGGTTCCTTTCGTTCCAGTGCCAGACCCAGTACGGATACCGTTGATTCGAGCACCGCCAGTGGCAGCACCAGCACCAGCGCCAGTACTAGCGACCAGCACTCCCGACTCCCGTCTCTCATTGCGCAAGCCTCTGCCTCCCTTTTTCGAAACGTCGACGTCTCTGCTTCTACCACTCTCCAACAATTCGGTCCAATTCGCCTTGCTTTTCACCCTACTCCCGCTATCCTCTTTTCTTTTTGCTTCTTGCCATCCTCAACTGCCTACCTAACCAAGCAGCTGGTCACTGCCAACCCAACAACCCCCATGTGCCAGATCTAACCGTCTCATTGCTCACGCGACGCAAGGCCCCGGCATCACCATCGCCATCATCTGCCTTCTTCCTCAGTCCGTCCGACCACCCGCATACACCCCGTCCATCCCTCGCCCGGCACACCCCGAACGCCGTCTCTGCGCTACGGTCCCGGAACAGACAACTCAACACAATTACACACTCAGCAAACACAACCAAAGAGGCGTCTTACCTTGCAGAGGCACAACTCTCTCTCCCTCGAGCCACCAAGCGTCCACCAAGCGTCCCTGACCACACACACCCCTCGAAATAGCCGTCTGGTGCCGACCTTGAAACCCTCCCGTCCACCAAACCAATCCTCGATACTCCCGGTACCCAGGGGGCCGCACAGGCCGAGCCACTCTTAAAGCAATTGCGCCTCCGTACCGAAACTGTGTCTTGGGCTGCGCGCCGGTGATTCACTTCAATGGCGCTTTAAACTTCTCTGGCGCTGGCACGCGGTCCCTTCCTTCGACCATCACTCAGATCACTCACCTCACCCTACCTGACCACGATACCACCTACTCACCCACCGAGTACTTGCAAAACTGCTCGCCTACCTAACCCACCATAACCTTTAACCTCGACATTACCGCAGACACCTATCCACCCTCGTGGTCCTGGTTCCTGTCACTTCTCCCACCAAAGAGCATAGACATCCTCTCCCCGCGAACCGCCACGAGGCACTACCTTCCCACACACACACACCCCGTCTATAATACCCTCGACAACCTCCACCACACACGACACCTCAGCATTCGATGTATACGTGCACCTACGGCCGCCGACTACTCTCTGCTCGTTCTCCCCTTGCCGGGGTTACGGCCAATTCGTCGCCATCATGTCGTTACCAGTCGCTATCCAGTCGGCCATTTTCTACTACCTCGCTTGCACACCATGTAACGAGATGAAGGCGTTTAGGAAGGCGAAGAAGAAGGCCAAGGAGGAAAGAGAGGTCAAGAGACGCATAGAAATGGAGCAGCCGGGACTGTACCGCCATCCCGACCCCTTCCACACCAACCCTTACTGGGCCGAGGAGATGGCTATGGGACCCCACCTGCCCAAGAAGTCGGCAAGCAAAAACGCCAGCCAGAGAGGCCTGCAGAGCGCTGGCCGCGCGAGTACCGCTGCGAGTTTTGGATGTGCGAGCACCGCCGCCGAGAGCACCGGTCCCGTCAGCCCGACAATTAGCCAGGAGCAGGCACGGAAACTGTCTGGCGATGGGTGGAACAGGACGTTATACCAACGCGAAGACGAGGAGCTGTGGGGCCACAATCTGTCTGGCATGGGCCACAAGCTCATGGACAACATCGTCGGAGCAGGCAAGACGGCGGGACGCTACGTCGAGGAGAAGCTGGGTCGCGAGAAGGCCATCACAGACGAAGATCGCGAGAACTTCTACACCACGCCGCGGAACCCCCCAGTCAACGACTACCACCCCCCAATTGTCGGAAGCAAGCCTTCTCGTCCCGACGCCCTCAAGTGGATGTTGCAGCCGCCACCACCAGCCAAGCTCATGGAAGGCCGAGTACCCGTCACCAGAACACACAGCACCAGCACTGTCGGCAGCAGAAGAACCATGGCTTCTGAAGAGCCTCCCCTTGACAGGCTCGTCCGCGAAAAGGCGCTCCAGAAGAAGCTGCGGCAGGCAGAGAAGCCCCGCCATGACGAGACACCCTCGGAATCGGAGCTAATCGACTCGCTTATCGGGTCAAGATCTAGAAAGTCAACGGTCTCGAGCAAGAACATGTCCAACCGTAGTCGCAGCCTGTCGCTGGAATCCGAAGTATCATCAGACGGCGAACTGGTAGAGAGAAGACGCAGAGCGCGCGCCAGAAGAGTCCCCGCCACGCCGGAGGAGACGTCTTCGGATGACGACGACTACGTCCAGCACCGCGCTTGGGACTCGCTGGGACACGCGAGCCCTCCCCGACGGCCCAAGCTGGAAACAATCACCAGCTCCCGGTCAAACACCAGACAGGCATTGAAGGCACGGCCAAACGGCACCAGACCTAATGCCACGGCCAAGGACGCCGACATCACACCCAAGGCCTCGACCAACCCGATCGTCCTCAAGTCGGATGAGAACACACCGACTACACCAGCAACCATATCATAACACGTCCCCAGGGACACAAAACTTTCCTTTCCTTGTGGCCCCATTTGCCACTTTTCCATGGGGGGCCATAAACTGCATTATTACAATTTGGGGGGCATAGCGTTCAGGCAAGGGCATCTGCATTACAACGGATTGGATTGGCATCGGCGTTGAGATGTGCGCAAAAGCAGCAAGCAGCATACGGAACATGATTTCTTGATTTTCCCCAAAAGGAGGATTGGCTCTGGGTTGATTTCTTTTTTCTTGCTCACCAAGGGACGACTACTTTTTACTCAGTCGGATCCCTCATTCATTCTCCTTTCTCACTTTGACACTTGGATGCGCACATAGATGCGATCAAGCTTCCACTTCTTTTTCAGCTTCCCTTTGTTATGGCATGCTAGCAAGCAAAATAGGAACATGAGGGTATTATCTCTTTCCGTGACCTTTTCTCTCTTTTTCCATTTCCACCAACCTAATCTCTCTCCGAATCATGATGAACGCCGCCCCATCTTTAAGTAGTGACTTGGAAAAGCGGTAGGTATCCTCCGCCTCGTCTACAAATGCATGCCGCCATCCTCATCATCATCCTGACCAAGGCCTCTCATCTGCTCCTCCATCGCCCGACGAAGCTCCTCGTCCGTCAGCCGGCCGCCGGTCCCATTCGCTCGCTGCCCCGGCTGGGTATCCAGCTGGATCTCGCCGTTGCGTATCGTGCCCGTCTGGAAAGTGCCGTCCAACCACGCAGGGTGCGCGCTCGGCGCAGCAGCAGCACCCGCGCCGTTTGCAGTCCTCTCCTCCTCGTCCCTCGCAGCAGCCAAACCATTCGTCGCCGTCGTCGTCGTCGCAGCAGTCACGGTCCCGTTCACACCCGTTCCATTAGTGCCTTCCGCCTTGTCCCCCTCGGCGTCGACCTCCTCCTTGCTGCGGAACTCGTTCCAGCTGTGCCCGCGCTCCTCGACCTCTGCGCGGATGATGGCGACGCGCTCCTCCATGCGGGCGATGACGGTCTCGTTCTCGCGGATGGCCTCGACGCAGTCCGGGTCCGGGCGGCCGGCGGCGGCGTCGGTGGCGGCGTCGAGGGTTGTCGCGAGCCCTTCGGCGAAGGGCTTGAGCTGGGCGTTGGAGTACTGCAGGTGCAGGATTGAGTTGCGGATCTCGAGGACCTTAAGGTGCAGGGTGGGCAGGGAGAGGTCTTTGAGGGCGGCGGCGAAGCGGGTGGGGGATATTGGGGCGGTGTCGGCAGAGGACATGTTTGTGTTTGTGGTGTTGATTTTGGAGTTTTCTTTTTCTACTATGGTTGGTGAAGTGAGAGGTGAGAAGTGAAGGTAGGTCGAAATGTCGATGTGGTTTTGGTGGAGGGTGGTGTTTCGTTTGTTGGGTTGAGAAGGTGTGACGTAGGTGAGGATGGGCGCGATCGTGCGCTGCTTTGGCGATGGTCGTCGCAGGGTGAGCTTTGGTGTAGGAGTGCAATGGTGGTGTTGCGTAGGTAACGTAGTGCGACGAACAGCTTCCTGCCAAACCTCGGTGCTGGGTTCTTGCTAAGCAGCAGCAACAGCAGGAGCAGCAGGAACAAGTGTAGGTTGCCAGCTAGGTACGCAAACCGCGGGGTGGAAGGTTCCTGCAGTGGGGTTACCAACAGGGGAGGGAGGGAGGAAAGAAAGGTTGGAGGGTGTGGTGATACAACGCCCCGTCGACATCATCCTTATCGATAACGACCAATCGTACCTTAAGGGCCTGCCGGGTCTGACTAAACTCACACCACGCCGTGGTCCGGAACAGACCGCCGCCGAACCGTTGGTGCGGCCCTGATTCCGTCACTCAAAGAATTTCTGGAGTCGATGACTTCTTCGGTGCGCACTCATCGAACCACGCAACGTTGGAAGCCTCGAGAGGAAGTGGGAGCGTTTGTCCCCATTGAGACGGGAATTACCCCCTGGAACACCTGATTTCCACCGAATCCCGCACTCAGCACCGGCGCATTGAGGAGTGAACAAGCTCCCCAGTGCGCTGCAACGACCGGCCCGAACGGGGCTCCCAGGAGCCATGAATACCTCACTCGTCCTCCCCGCGCGATCCCTCCTCGGCCTCGGCCTGCGCGCAACATGCCGTCGTGCAGCCGCCAACAGCTCGAACTCTCCGCTGCGACTTCTCTCGACGTTCTCCGCCCCCCGCGTCACGAGGTCATCATGGTCACCACTCCATCGTAACCTCTGGCCCTCGCCCGCAGCGAGGGCGACGCAACCCCGCTACGCCTCCTCCTCGTCCGCCAAATCCACAATCATCCGCGAATACGAAGACCTCCCCGCAGACTACAGAGACAAGACCGGCCTCCCCTTCCGCGAGAAGGACCTCACCGCCGCCGAGGTCAAGGCCGTCTTCGGCCCCGCGATCAAACCCAACGCCGCCAACCGCCTGCTCAGAATCCTCCACGGCCGCCGCGTCGCCGGAACCCTCGACGACCCGATCTTCACCGTGAACACCGCCTCCTTCCGGCCCGAGCAGCGCGCCGCCGCGCTCGAGTACCTCCGCGACAACGTCCCCGTCGACGAGATCCTCAACGCCGGCCTGCGCGCCGAGGACGAGCTCGCGCAGCTGGAGAAGGAAATCGCCGAACAGGCTGACGGCGACGCTGCCGCCGACACCGACTCGGCCAAGACATCCCTCAGAAACAGCGACAAGAACAACGCTCCCGAGGAGGTCAAACCAGACCCGGTGTACGGCTACAGCGTCATGGACGCCATCCGCGCCAAGAACCAGGCCAAAGCCCGCGAGGAAGAAGCCCGTCTCGCGCGCGAGGCCGCAGAGAAGGGCCTCCCCCCACCCGTGCCCGGCGGCGCCGTCGCCACGGTCCCCATCAAGCGGCCGCCCATGAGCCCGCGCATGCAAAAGTGGCAGGAGCAGGGCCAACTCACCTCCAACCTCGACGCCCCGCCGGAGCTCACCCTCTTCGAGCGCCTGCTGCCCTCCTACGCCGTCGTCGCGCTCCTCGTCGGCGCCCTCGCCGCCGCCGCCATGGTCTACTCCCCGCCCCACGACACCGAGCGCCTGTACCCCGAGGTCTCGGCCTCCACCGCGACCGTCGGCTTCCTCATCGGCCTCAACGCCCTCGTCTACGCCGCCTGGCACGTCCCGCCGCTGTGGGGCTTCCTCAACCGCTACTTCATCATGGTGCACGGCATGCCGCGCGCCGTGACGATGCTGACGGCCAACTTCTCGCACGCATCGCTGAGCCATCTGGCGACCAACATGGTCGGCCTGTGGTTCGTCGGCACCGCGCTGCACGACGAGATCGGCCGCGTGAATTTCCTGGCGATATACATGGCCTCCGGCGCGCTCGGCCTGCTCGGCAGCCTGACCATCTACACGCTGCGCGGCATCCTGACGGTGTCGACGGTCGGCGCGTCGGGCGCGGTGTTCGGCACGGCGACGGCGTACTTTTGGATGCACCGCTTCGATACGTTCAAGATCTTGGGCTTCCCGCCGGACCCGATGAACGGGCCGCAGGGATTGGGTTTCCTGGCGGTGCTACTGGGTGTGCATATTGCCGCGCTGTTCCGGAGGGGCAAGCAGACGGTCGACCTGACGAGCCATTTGTGTGGAATGTTGGCTGGGTTGATTGGCATTGAGCTTGTTACCGGCAGGAAGGAGGTTCCCAAGGCGAGGGAGGATCTCGTGAAGGATGCCCCGCCGAGGGAGGATGGGGATGAGAATGTGAAGGCATGAGGGGACGTGTGTGTGATTTAGTAGATTAGAGTGAGTGATATGGGGCAGCGGATGATGGATAGAAATGTCCTACTGTACTACTATATAGTGTACGCAAATACCACTTTTGAATTCTTAGCAAATGTCGCTCGCTCTCGAAAAATTGCTTGTGAGTGTCTTCCAAAGTTCAGTGTGGTGGCCGAATCTCTTCTGTCAGGGAGGAGGCGGTCTGAGCAGCCGAGTCAAGTTCGTCGTCCCGCACTTCCACCGTCATCTTGTTGTACATGAGGAATACGCAGAAGCAAGCCTTGCGGTGAAAAGATAGCAAGGGCCTTCAAGCCGCCTATTAGACGAAAAGCATATAGGATCTCGTTATGACATGGCCCTGCCCTGGAACAACAGACCTTGCATTTTGAGGTACAGCATAAAGAGGTCAACTGGCGTTTATATACCCCAGAGATGATGGCGAAGCTACTAATGGCCGTACATCCATAGGGGTAAACTTTTTGCATTTAGTTCGAACACAACGACTAAGAAGCGGGACTCGATCTCTCGGGTTGTTGAACGATAACGACATTGGGCTGATGACGTATGCTGAGTTGCTGTTGCTTCGAGCTCTTCCACCGTTTTCTATCTAGGCCTTGGATCAACAGTGCGTACGAGACTCGGCAAGTGTTTCCGGATGGCTCAGCGCGTCATTCTGCGGCTGTGCCATCGCACGAATGGGGAATCAATCCGTCTCCCAGGATTCGACTTAAGAAGACGGTATTTCTACCGCAAATTAACGAGTTCCAGTCGATTGCCGCAGCAGGCTTCCTTGAAAATGACCACTCATCGCCGTCCTCTAGTCGTCACGCTCAAGTCTTCGTTCAGTTCCTTGCCGGAAGGATAAAAATCAAACGCTGGAACTGACGATAAGATGTTTTTAATCAAATTGATTTCGATCTCTGGGTAGACTTGTTATTTTGAGTGTAACCAGCAACCCGGCCATCCCGCCAGTAAAACAGCAAGCAAGGAAGAGTAATCGGGGCTTCACTTTGTTGGACTCATTGATACTCCACGTTTGGCTTCTTCTCCGATTAATTCGAAATCAAACACGCAAATACACAGTGGACGAAAAGAACGTTGGGTCTACCACCACTGCAAGCGGAACCACCAGGGAAACCAAAATCTGGCAGGAGAGATTGGCGTCTCAATGAACGGGAAACCAATTTTCAACCTGTAGCAACCAAGATCCCGGTTAGAACAAAGTCTCATTTTGCCCGTTCTTTTCAACACTTGGAACCTCTCTTACTAAATAGTTCCTCCGTCATTCT